TAAGGCAAGGATGTCTGCCCTCACCACTTCTATTCAACATTTATGAGGTTCTAGCCAGAACAGTTAGGTAAGATAAGTAAGACTAAAAAGGAAGAAGTAAACTGCCCTTGTTTGCTAATAACATGATTTTATACATATAAAATGCTAAGTAATTAACTAAAAAACCAATGGAACCAATAAAATTAATTCATCAAGATTGCAGGAAACATAATGTACAAAAATACTTTATGAACAATCTGAAAATTAAATTAAGAAAATAATTTCATTCACAATAGCATTAAACAGAATAAAATACTTAGGAATAAATTTAACAAAAAGAAGTACACACTTCAAAAATTAGAAAACATTGTTGAAAGAAATTGAAGATCAAACAAATGGAAAAATCTCTCCTTTTCATGGATCAGAAAATTTAACATTGTTATTTAAGGCTGCTATTCCCCTAAATGTCAGAGCTAAACCTATAAAACTATTGTGTTGGCAAAAAAGTTCATTTGGTTTTTTTCCCCATGACATCTTACAGAAGAAATCAAACGAACATTTTGGCCAACCCAATCCTAGAAGAAAATAGAAGGCTAAGTCTTGACCTTGGATTCAGCAAAAGTATTCTTAGATAGGACAACAGAAGTCCAAGCAGTGCATATCATCAAAATTAAAAACTTCTATGCTTCACAGGACACAACCTGAAAAGCCAACCTACACAATGGAAGAAAATACTTGCAAATACTTTATTTGATAAAGGATATCCAGAATATAGAAAGAACCAACCCATACAACTCAATAATAAAGACAAATCTGGGGCTTCCCTGGCGGTCCAGTGGTTAAGACTCCTGAGTTCCCACTGCAGGGTGTATGGGTTCAGTCCCTAGTTGGGGAACTAGGGTACCACATGCCACATAGCACATTAAAAAAAAAAAACAAAAAACCCTTACCCAAATAAAAAAGGAAAAAAGGATCTGAACAGACATTTCTCCAAAGAAAATATACAAGGAGCCAATAAACATGGGGGAAAAAAATGTTCAGTATCTCTCATCATTTGGGAGATGCAAATCAAAACCACAAGATACCACTTTACACCAAGATGTGGATAATACAAAAAAATTAGATTATGAGTTTTAGGAGGGATGTAGAGAAATCAGAAGCCTCTTATACTGCTGATGTGACTGTAAAATGGTGCAGCCATATTGGAAAACAGTAGGATGGTTCCTCAAAAAGTTAAACCTAGAGTTACCACATGACATAGCAGTTCCACTCCTAGGTACATACTATCCACCCACAAAAAGAAAAAAATGAAAACATATGCCCACAAAAATTTATACACAAATGTTTATAGCAGCATTATTTATAATAGCCAGAAGATGGAAATAAATGTTTATCAACTGATATATGCATAAATAAAATGTGGTGTATCCACAATGGAATGCTAACCCCCAATAAAAAGAAATGAGTATTTTTTTTTGACGGTTAGAATTTATTAATTTTTAATTGGAGGATAATCGCTTTACAATACTGTGCTGTTTTCTGCCTTATATTAACATGAAATCAGCCATAGGTATATGTATGTCCCCTTCCTCTTGAACCTACCTTCCACCACCTACCCCATCCCACCCCTAAAAAGAAATGAAGTATTGATATATGCTACAACTTGGATGAACCTGGAAAACATGACCTAAAGTGAAAGAAGCCAGCCACAAAAATGCACATATTATATGATTCCATTCATATGGAAGTCCAGAATAGAGAAATCTATAGATCCTCTATTAAATCTATAGAATCCATAGATCTATAGAATCTCTACAGGGATTCATAGTTGCTTACTGCTTCATGAGGAATGGGGTGGGATGAGGAGGATGGAGAATGATAGCTAATGGATATGAGGGTTCTTTTTGAAGTGATAAAAATGTTCTAAAATTGGTCATGATGATGGCTGCAAATATCTGAATATACTAAAAAACTACTGAATTATACACTTTAAGTGGATGAATTGTATAGTCTGTGAATTATCTCTCAGTTAAGCTGTAAAAAAGTCTTCATGTACCATTCTAGAATAATCTCCAAAATATTTTGTTAAATAAGATGCAAGAGTTTTAAAAAAAAGTTATTCCATATTCTATATGTAGGTTGTGTATCCTATAGTTACATGAATCTATAAATGTGTTAAAATACATAGAACTGTCCAAGAAAAGAAAAAAAGGTAATTTTATTGTATGATGATGTAGAAACATAAAATCTTTAAAATACAGTAGAATTGAGAGAGGAGAGACAGTGTCACCAGAGTTGGTAGTTCTGGTGGTGGACATTGGGAGAATCTTCAAGAAGAAGGTTACACTTGCAAGTGCCTTGAAGGATGGTTTGGCTCTGGACAGATATTTAAGGAGAGGTTTGATAAAGAAAAGAAAATCATTTCAGACAAATGTTAACAATGGCTAAGAGTACAGGGTAGGGAATTTTTTTTTTAATTGGAGCATAATTCCTTTACAGTGTTGTTAGCAGGGTGGGGAATTTGTGACCATCTGGGGAGCATTAAGATAGCTCAGTGGTTAAAAAAAAAAAAATCCACCTGCCAACGCAGGAGACACAGGTTCAGTTCCTTGGTTGAGAAGATCCCCTGGATCTTTCCACTGCGGGATCTTCCCACTCCAGATTTCTTGTCTGGGAAATCCTATGGACAGAGAAGAGCCTGGCGGGCTACTGTCCATAGGGTCACAAATAGTCAAACGTGACTTAGCAACTAAACCACAAAAGGGAGCATTAATTGTTCAACAGGATGCATACAGGAAAGAAAAGAGATTGTGGATTTCCCTGTGTGTCAGGTTAAGAACTGAACACTTTGTTGTATGGTCACTGGTGAGCCATCAAAGGTACTTGATGAGAACTCTGCCTTAGGGATATTATTTCATAGAACTGCTAACAGGTAAGTTTAGACCAGTTAGAAGGCTGTTATATTAATTTAGTTAGAGAATGAGGGACTAATACAGGTGGTGGAGATCTGAGATGGGAACAGATGGAATCAATATCGTGAAGAATGTGGAGCTGGCTGAAAAGGAAGAAAAAAGTCCCCAAAATTGGCCCTTTGGTTTTGAGCCTATGTGACTGGGATGATAATACTGTTAGGAAAAGGAAGGAAAAGCAGAGAAGTTGATGAGTTTAGGTTGGGATTTGTTTAGTTTGAGGAGCTAAGAGATCTCTAAGTAAGAGACTTAAATGGCAGTTAGACAGGGAAGCCCGTGTATGGTCAGCACCACACCCACAGATTAAACCAACCTTGCATGGAAAATATTTGGGGGTAAAAATCTAGAAAGTTCCAAAAGGCAAAACATGAATTTGCATCACATTGGCAACTACTTACACAGCATTCAAACTGTATTAGGTACTGTAAGTGATCTAGAGATGATTCAAAATATCAAGAGGATATCATAGGTTATATAAAATGTGAGAAAGATATATGGTAATACAATCAGAATTTTGAGTTGGGAAAGCTGGAAGTCAGGAAAGCTTACATTGGATAACCTCAAGTTTTTTCCCATAAAATAAGCAAGGTCATTCATAGAGTGGAAAGTAGGGGATAGAATTAAAGAGTGTTTCTAAGCAGCTTTAAATATTTTCTCTAATTCTGCCCTTTGTATAAATGAAAAACAAATGATCCACATCAATTATAACAGGTAATATTTACTAAGCCTTTACCATCTGCTAGGTATCATGCTAAAAGCTTATTTCAAACTTAGAACATCCCTAACAGACAAAAGGTATTAGCAGTTTTATCCACACATTACAGAGGGTAATACATGAGACAGACAAAGGATTGGAAACAGCTCAAGGTTACCCAGCTAATCAGAGGTAGAACCAAGACCAAATACGAGATCTAACTATGAGCTGGTCACGGGATATTTTCTGAGGTTTTACTTTCAAATTTCTTTGAAGCAGTAAAATATTGGTTCAAGAATTTACATGGATTAAGGGAAATAGAATACAAAGTATGTATTCCATGTATACAATGGAATGTAACTGCAATAAAGTTAATAAATGGAGAGAGGATGGCTTGTTTAATAAATGCACTAAGACAGATAACTATCCACTTTAATTTTTTTATTTAATTTTGATCTTCTGTTTAAAGTACATATATAGCAGCAATCAGAGCAGTGGTTGTTTATGGTAGGGCTGAGATGGACTCGGGCACAGGGAAAACATTATAGGGTAACAGCAATATTCTATAATTTGATTAGAATGTTAACTACATGTTTTGGCCAAAATTCATTGAAATGTACATTTAAAGTCTGTACATTCTACTCTATGTAAATTTTATAGCAGTTTTAAAAAGGAAAATCTACCTATAGACCTCTAAGACATCATTAAATGAAAAAAAAAAAACCCAAACTATTGTGAAAAAAATTTTTAAAGCAAACTGTAAGGTGAGACATACAATATAATACCATTTATTTATAAAAAAGGGAATAATTCTTTCTGTGGATCACTTGTGTATATATGTAAATGTCTCATGGTTCTTGGGTCAAACTGCCCTACTCCACCAAGAGGTCCTTCCTCCAGGATCAATCTTAGTGCTCTCAGGGTTTCTTTCTGGGATGCAAAGAAAGACTTTTATATTACAACATCATTAGCTTAAGAGTAAAGCCCTCCACTGTTTATAATAGTCTCCAGTGAAGAAAGATATTTTTTCAGGAAACTACCTAAAAAACATGATGTGTTTATATAATGATTTTGAAAACTAGTACATCTTCAGAAGCAGCCTTGTATAACGGGGCTGAATGGGTTGCGTTCTTGTCCTGACTCTGCCACTTGATTAGACTGATGTTTTGGAGCAACTCCTTTAATCTCTCTGGGCTTCAGTTTTCTTTTGGTTAGAAAGAATGGACTGAACTGATGACTGAGGGTCCATCGAGGCCTAAGATTCAATAAACTCTGTTCCTTCCCATGGACCTTGTATGAAATAGGTCACCTCACCTACAATAAACATGTGGAAAGTCAGCTTTTCTCTTTTGAAACAGGTGACAACCAAAGCCAAGCAACTGAAGGATTCAGTTACCTGTTCCCCAGGTGAGTCAGCACCCACTCCATCCCAGTGATCTTAAGCCATGTCTTCAAAACAACCCCCCTTTCACAACTGCTTTAAAAATGATGGTGTTTAATAGTTGTGCCCAATGGACTCTACTGGTCATCTCTCTAAAAAGGGTCCATTTACAAGCACCCACCAGCCAATCCAGCCCTGCACACACAGTGGTGCTAAGATGTACTTAAATAAATTTGAGGAGCTGTAGAAACCTTGTTCTTTAGTATGGGGGGGAGGGGACACATGGGAAAGCCAGTCTATACCATTTTTTCCACGCTGACCACAGTTGCCACCACACACACAGAGCATCCTTGAGAACAGATCAAGCAATTTCCCCAAGAATCTGTGTTTTTCAGAATCCGTTTTCTCAAAGACTAAATGGAATTTTTAAGAACCCCATACGGTTTACTTGAAACCAGGAAGAAGTGCCTCTTCAACCTTTCAGCTCTACTTAAATATAGGTCCCTGTACTCGATGTAACCAGCCAGCAACCAGCAAACCCTGAGATCTGGAAACGTCTCCCTGAGGAGGACAGGGTGCGGATGCTAAGGGCTCAAGGGGGAGGGCATTCCCGATTGCTTTCCCACAAGGACAGCTGTTGGTCTGGCGGGAAGGCAGGGACCGCCAAGAGGGTTCCGTGAAAGATGCCCCCCTCCAAGACGGTCTCTAGAAACATGCTCTTGAAAAGGCAGCGGGGAGTTGGGTGGGGCCTGGACAGACAAGTCTTTCTAGAGAGTCGGAGGGGTCAGGAGTATGTGAGGAGGGCAGGAAAGGCGGGGTTGAACATTTGGGGGGTCTCTGAGGTGACACCTATGGTGGCAGTGGTGAGGGAAGCAGGTTGGTGCAGGGGCAGGGCCCCGGGGAAACAGCGAGCCCCGTGGAGGGTCTGACACATTCAGGCTGCTGACACTCGTGGAGTCAGCAGCAACCCTGGGTGCTGAAGAACATCGTTTCTCACCTAGAAAGTAGGCGGTTACTCCCTGCATTTCCTCTGATCACGGCCGACCCTGGAGGCCCCTGTTCCTCAGAGTGGTGGAAGGACCACGGCCCGGAATCAGACAGAAGCGAGTTCAGATCGCAGCTCTGCTGCTGCTGAGGCTGACGTGCCTCCTTGTACAACTAGGGTAGTGATGGCTATCTTTCTAGAATACTGCGAACATTCAGTAAAACACACGCAAAATGCCCCACCACTGTCTGCTGCGGCGGCCACACCACCGTGGCTCCTGTTCCTGAACCGACCTTGTCTCTCCGTGTGTCCCTCCACACAGGGATGGTCAGGCTCTCGGAACTCAGATACACAGCTCAGAACTCCAGGCCCATCAGGACCACCGCAGCCTTGCCGGACAGCATCATCACCCAGCGGGAAGAAGCCCAGTCCGCCACGGAGGAGGAGGAGGAGGCGGCGGCCGAGCCGGGGGCAGAGGCCGCGGAGGAGAGCCGGCCGCGGAGGCGGAGGCCGGCCCGGCCCACCGAGCCGGAGGAGCGGGTCCGGGGGAGGAGGCAGAAGGACTTCGACCTGTCAGAGCAGCACGAGTCCAGTGACGAGGAGAGCCAGCAGAGAGCGCGCGCACGAGCTGCAGAGGAGCCCTGGACTCAGAACCAACAGAAGCTTCTGGAACTAGCGTTACAGCAGTACCCGAGGGGGTCCTCTGACCGCTGGGACAAGATAGCCAAGTGTGTCCCGTCCAAGAGCAAGGTGGGTGACGCCAGGAAGGCAGGCCTCTGGGGGCTCCAGACACAGGGAAGCGGCTTGTGGCCCCACCTGACCGTCCCTCATCTCACGCCGCCTCCGATCCTCTTTCTACCCAACCCGTCCTTCCCCTGCCAGCTGTCTTCCAGTAGGCATCCTCTGACTGTGAATCTGTGCACTCGACTGAGCATAAATGAGGTCAAGAGTCTAAGTGTCATCATTACACCGACCAGTTATTTTTTCTCATCGAAAACCCCATGCACAGAACATAAAGTCCCCCATGACAATGCTACCAACCTTCTGGAGCCTTCGTTCTGCCAGTGGGGGCTGGGCCGGGGGAGGGACTGACAGGTGGACAGCAGGACCAGGATCCGGCTTGTCCCTGCAGCGCTGTCTGCTGTTTGCAGCTCCTTAAACACATCGGCAGAGGGTTCCCAGACACCAGCTCAGAAGGGGCGGCGGCCCCTGTGGAGAAGCAGGCCCCACCCGACCCCCCGCTTCGGCGCTGCCAGTGCGGAGCCTCCCACGTGACCTTCTCAACCCTGGCCCTGCCTGACACGCGTGGTCTCCGGGGCCGCTTACCTCGCACCCATACCCCTTGTCTGAGACACCAGGAACACTGAGAAATCAAGAGACCCAATCTCTGCCGCCTTCTGTGCCCACCACTCAGTTAGCCTGTGGGCACACTGATGTTCATTTACATTCTTTTTTTTTTTTTTAATTGATATTCAGTGTCGGAAAATCTAGCTCGTGGCCATGGATGTCCCCATGTGTATAGGTCTAGTTTATCTCCTTCAAAATGATGACGTTGAGAATTCCCGAGGAGAAAAATAAACCATTAGCAGTTGATCTGTTTGAGAAACACAGTTCCTTCCTAGCCCCTCCAACTGATTTGCCAGAAGAAATGATTTTCCCTGAATTCCTCTAGCATTTGTGGGTACGCAGGCATTTACAGGTGGGATGAATTGACAGTGGCTTAAAATGAAGGAGCTGCAGCCATGGATTCCTCGGGGTGGGATGCTCAAACTCACTGCCTTGGGGGTTTGGAAACCTTCCTGTTTCAGGGAGGAATGTCCTGCAAGGGTTCCCTTTAAGCCTAACATCAGAACCAGGTCCAGGGGAGGTTCAGCCACCCCTGCTGGCTCGCTGCCCCCGGGTGACTCCCTGCAAGTGGCCCGCAAGCCACTGGGGCCTGAGAGAGGACCCGGGCCCCCGGCGCCACCCGGGCAGGCCTGCTGCTCAGAGCCCAGAGACCCCGCGTCCTCCAGCGGAGCGCTGGGCCGCTGAGCACCACATCCCACACTCGGCTCTGCCAAGGGCAGAACAGTTAGGAAAAGGCTGATATTTTAGGCAGGTGGTCCTTGGGGATGCAGAAGAGGCACTTGTTAGGTGTTTCTCTCGGAACACTACTAAAACCAAAACCCCAGGAAGAGAGTGAACACTCATTCTTTGTCCCGGGCAGCTGATAAAGTCATCTGCAGCAGACCACAAACCAGTGACCTGGTTTCCCACATGACCTTAAGTTAGTGAAGGGTTACGGTGCCTCCGGGGTGTTTCTGAACAGAAACAGAGATGGTTCTGGAAAGTGGTACACAAGGGAGCAGCGAGGCCACTCCGTGCTTCATCAGGGTCCTCACCCCAAGGAGCGGCGTCAACAGGCAGCAGGGTCTTAAGCTGCTAGTTCTGCAGCCTGAGGGGCTGGAAGACCCGCCGGTGCTGGGACGTGCCCGAGGAGAGCAGGGCATGCTCCCTAGGAGGTCCAGGCCGGCAGGACAGCCCTTGGTCAGCAGTGGGCATGGTGGGCTAACTCCACAGGGGGCATGCTGATTGTAACTGTCATCCCACCACCTCTTTTTCTCTCTCCAGGAAGACTGTATCGCTAGATACAAGCTGCTGGTTGAACTGATTCAAAAGAAAAAACAAGCTAGAAGCTGAATCCTCTGGAAGATGATGTTTACCTCCATTTTCAAAAAGGATTATTTTAAAACTCTTATGCAGAAATTTGCATTTTGTACCTCAGTATTTCTATACGTCATGTGCCTTAGTGAAAAAAAAAATTAAAAATTTAAAATAAACGTTGTGTTACATTGTTTAAACATACTGTGTTAACAGAGAAAAAACAGATTTGGGTATTTTATAGATTATTTTCTCTCTCATCACTGCAAAGCTTAATTTCCTGGGGACAAAAAGAATAGTGCTTTTCTAACAGTCAGGCAAATGTATGAAGGAACATGAGTGAACTAATGTGTAAGAGTTAAAACATAATGTTTCTTTGACCAAAGATCACACCACTTGATGAGTAGCAGGATGCTGGTATTTTGGGAAGAAAAAAACCTGGTTGGTGTACTGAGCTAGCTAGTAGTAGTGTGGGGTTATCTTAACTCTATGTATTAATATGTAGATTAATATATGTAATTATATAATATATGGATACATTATATGTATCTTAAAAAAAAGTCTAAATGCCCACAGACATAAGTAATAAACTGTGGTGTGCAGAAAGACATCCCCAACTATGAATTTCCAGAGAACACATAGGCAAGGTTTTTAGGATCTGATGACTTTGGGTCCCACTTTTCAATATCCAAGTTAAAAGTCACTATTTTGTGCTGTTAATTTTGAATGAACCGTCACCATCAGCTGTGCACTCCTTTTTAAATATGTCATTTGCTCAGGACTTGGAAATAGTTTGCTAAAGTACAAACTGCCTAAACTTGAAAACCATTAAGACCACCAGGACACATTTCAGGGAGGTGATCTGATAAAATATCCATACAGACATCGTTTTTCTCTAAGGATTGAAATGAGGCTCCCAGAGCAGGCTCGGGTGGCACTCGCTCTGTAACCTTCTAGCCTGAGCAGGACACTCGTGGCCCCAGGTCAGCCTGCCTCTGGTGCTGTGAGGTTCCGGACCCCTCGAGACGTCAAGAAGAGCAGTGGAGAAATAGCTCCAGGTCGTCGTTCCCACGAACTGAGTCCTTGGGCAACAGCCCTTGAGTCTCATCTGCGGGGGGCCGGGGTGTGCCTTGCCTGGAGGTCAGGAGCCTGTCACCGTGACACCAGGACTTTCTCCCGGAGCCAGTGGGGCTGTGAGGTGGTGACTGTGCATTCACTGAGGGACAAGCCCTGCTCCCTGTTCTCAGTGAAAGACATTGATTCACAGAGGGAATCATGAAGGGACGGTTCTAGTGGCTTGCCAGGCCCTGGGTCCATTCTGTCTCTGGTCCAGCATCAGCCTGTCTTTCACACAGTTTGCCTGTCCAGCTGTGACATTCTGTATCTAGATCACCCTTTTCACTTACGGTGCTTTGAACTGGGTCTCTGTTACATGCATCCCCAAATCCCATTACAAGATTTCTGGGCTTCCAGTGTTGGGAGAGCCCCACATGGGTCCAGTGATGCCTTAAGAGGTACAGTTTAAGATAAAAGGTCCTAATTTGCCTACCAACATCATCATCTGCACACTCATTAAGGAGGTGTCTCCAGCATGGTTTGTCCTGATGACTGCCCCTGCCACCAGCCCCTCTAAAACCAGAAAGGGGCCCCTTCTGCATGGCCGCCCCTATTCAGGGGACACAGAGCGGCTGGTTTTGTTGAGGTAGGACCAGTGGGCCTGGTGGGGAGGGTTCACGAGCGTAGCAGGACACAGGAGACCCATGGGTGCGGGTGCTTCCAAAGGAGGTTCCTGACAGGTGATGTGGGGACCAGGCCTGGCCCCCCTGCCCTTCCTGACTCCCAAGGAAGCCCTCCCCAAACCCACCCCTCAAAGCCCCAGCTTGTGACCTCTGTCTACTCACACCTCCAAGGCCGAGCTGTGTGACATCAGTGCCTTGTTTTACCTCTTTGTCTCAATTCCTTGTCTGGAAAAATAGAGACTAATGGTGGCTGCAACACAAGTTGTTATGATGACAGTCTGGCTTGCTGAAAACAATAAATGTTCCTTTTCTATCTGACCATCCGGACTTCCTGTTGCCATCATTTTCAGTGGCTGCTGACACGCATGACAGGGCTGACAGGGCACCAGCCTGTCACATGCTCACTTGGCCCCTCACACGTGGGAATCTTGGGCCTTGTGTGAATTCTTGGGGGTCTGGGAACCCTACCACATGGTATGCACAACCTTTTCCTTTTGGATGTGTAGTCCACATCTTTCACTAGGTGCCCCCAAAGGGTTTCTCACCCAGAAAAGTTAACTCTAGCCTCTGCTGGTGTGTTTAGTCTAATATAGCCATGGAGGGTCCACGTGGTACGAGAAGAACCCCCAGACGTGGCCTCTGACAAAAGAGGTCCAGGACTTTACCGGGCGCTCCACCCCACTCAGACCCTGGGAGGGGGACCGGCGGCAGGTGTCTGCTCTGTGCAGTGCTTGCAAAGCACTGGCCTGGCCCTGGCACACCCCCCAGCTGCACCTCCAGCCCCACAGGCTTCAGGGTCGTGCCCCCATCCACCCAGAAGCCTGAGCCTTTTCTCCTAGAGTGATTTTCATTTACTTTCTCCACCGAGGCAAGGGCTTATGGTTCTGTTCTTTCCACCAATGAGAGCACCGGTTTTCAAGTCCCGTCTCACGTTCTCCCGTGTGCGCTCACAAAGCCCCTACTGTTGGAGCAGGTTCCCACCAGAGCCAGCGCTGCTCCAAGGCCAGGTGCTGTCACCCGGCACAGGGACCGGCAGGCTGACTGCTTTCCTGGCTGTGCCTGATGATGCTTCCTCACTGAGACTCCAGGCGGATGACCAGTTTTTCTGTGACACTTGCTGTGGGAACCACCTAGAAGTCTCACGCTCTTGTCTCCCTGAGTGCCTGGCAAACATCCCAGCCCCACAAGATGAGCTCGGTCTCAACTGGGATACTGCTGCCCACAGGCCAAGTCTTCCCCTGAGTTCCCTTCTCAGTTTCAGAAAAATCATAAGCAGCGTTCCTGGTCAATGTTCTGGACGCCTTAAAAATGCCTCGTGCCTCTGGGTATGTGCCAGCCCCACCCCCACACCAAGTCCACCCACCCCTTTGAAAGTGGAGAAGGAACCCCTTTAAAATAGGAACCACTTCAGCCCCACTTACACCTATAGCGGAGCTGCAGTTGTTTTGCTTCAGTAGTTAATTTTCCTAAATCTTAAAGGGCACAGGTTTACATTGTGACGTTCTATACTCACGGGGTAACTGCGTGTCCCAAGCGGTCAGGGACAGCCCCGGTTTGAACTGGTCCTCCCTGGACCCAGTTCAGAGCTCACCTCACATGGTCACCTGTCTGTGAGGTCCGAGAGTTCCCGCCTCACCTGCACCTCATGAGCACACGGCTTCTGCATTTGTTTTGCACGGTTTGGGCTGAGAAAGCTGGAGGACAGAGGGCAAGTGAGCCCTGGCGCCCCCTGGGACACCGCCCGCCTGCTTGGGAACCATCTGGATGGGGTCTCCTGCCGCCAGGGGGGCCCCCTTGCTCCAGCGCACCCCCCTCACCCCCTTCACCAGCCCATTCAGCGGCTTGCCGCTGGCCCCTCCTCCCTGCCGGCCGCCTGTGCCTACACCTGTAGCTCGGATCACAGCGTGGCCTGGAATCCACCCCACTGTCTTGGCAGGAGTCCCAGCCTCCTGTTTGAGTAAACTGCTTGGCCTTCAGCCTTCGACTTTATTCACCAGGGAGCTAAATTAACACGCTGTAAAACTGAGCGGCTGCGATTATTTTCCTCTGGTCTAGGAAAAAAAAGAATGGCTTCGTGTAGAACAGAAAAAGGGAAACCACTTTAGCAATCAGATCCCCAGGGAGAAGCTACCAGTGTTTCAAAGAGCCGTGTCCAAACAGCACCGTGGCTGGTCCCCGGGCTGGAAGTGGGGTGAGCAGGCAGCTCCTGCCCCTCACTGGGTGCCTGGCCACTCTGACACCCCCGGCCCAGCCTCGGCAGGGACCCCCCGAGTCCAGCTCCTTTCCTCATGACCCGCCCCCCTCCCCCCGACACCACCACCCCCCACCCCGGCCCCCATGTCCTCCCACTGCAGAAATGAAAAGACACCAAATTCTTCTGCAGGGAAAGTTGACTGCTCATCTCTTGCGGTCACCACCTGTCAGAAGCCAGAAGCTCAGTGTCCCCTGGATTACTTCAGGAGTTTCACTCGATGAAGCCCATCTTTGATGAGTACAGTTTAAAAAGAAATCCTACTTTTACAGATGAAATGGACAAAGATATGAGAGGGTTATCTTTTTAAATGAAGTATAGCTAATTTACAGTGTTGTGTTCCTTTCCGGTGGTACAGCAAACTGATTCAGTTTTATATATATATAAACCTTTTCATTTTTTTTTCCATTATGGTTTATTGCAGGCTAGTGAATATAGTTCTCTGCGCTACACAGTAGGATCGTCATTTGAATCTCAAACTCCTAATTTACCCCCCCCATGCCCTTCCCTTTTGGTAACCAGAAGCTTATTTTCCATGTCTGAGGGAATCATCTTTTTATTTTGCCTGTCCTAAATTACAAAGGAAAATGAACAATCTCCATCATGTTTTCTGCTACCCAAAAAGAAACGTTTTGTAGAATTTAAGATAAAATATAAAATTGTTTATCCCAAATAATCTTGGTTCCAATCTGTCTTACAAAGAAGATGTTCCTGCAGTGACAGATAGATGCCTCTAGACACCTGACCCCAGCTGGTCTCCTGTTTTAAGAGGCTTGGCATAGGAAACCCTGATGGAATCCTCCTCTTTGGCTAAACTGAGATCTATCCTATTATGTCAACACTGGAGTCGAAGCACTGGATGTGGACTCTTGCCTGAGGCTGTCTTTCCATACAGGAGAGAGGAGGGTTCTGGACTGGGGTGGGACAGGATCTCATTGTGCCAATGAACCCAAACATGCTTTAATCCAGGGACCAGTCAGCTCCAAACCACCCCCCACCGCTCCCCACTCAGCACCAGTGCCTGGCAGCAGAGAAATCCTCTGTCTGCAGTGGGCTGAGCAGCAAGGGTTGGGGAGAGAGGGCTGATAGGGCCGCTTCCTCCAGGAGCAGAGCCTGGGGTGAGGAGGGGCCGCCCAGCACCTCCTTCCTGGTCTCGGCTTGGACACTGACAACTAACCAGAACCAGAGGTGCAGAGATGGAGGACCGTTCTGAGGGAGGAGTTAAACATGGGTTGTAAATCAGAAGAGAGAACTTCCAAGAACTCGAGAAGCACAAAGCTGAGAGCACTGCAGGTGGGAGGGCCAGTGTTTACGAGGTCATGGGCCTGCCCACTGCGATGCTGAGGGCTGTGGAGCTGCTCTAGGTCCCCAATAAAACCGAAGACTGAGCACTGAGGCCTGCAATTAAAGTGTCAAAGGTTCACACTGAGGTGAACAAGGCCACCTGATCCGCAGCTGGAAGAGGCCAGTTCTTGGAACAGCAGCAAGGCCCATGACGGGGACCAGCCCTTCACCAGCCTGGGCAGCTGCACGGCTTCCCCCAGGGCCAGGGAAGGAGGAGAACTGGAGGGGAAGGGGCAGAGGGCCCAAAGAGGGCGGCGGGGGTGGGGGCGGGGGGAGAGTAGCCGAAAGGTGCATCAGGTTGTCCCTGGAGCTCCTGGAGCACCCAGGGTCAAGCCCCACTCCACCTTTACAGGCGGCCACACCCCACCAAGAGTTTGCAAAGACACTGTGCACCTTGGTTTTTCACAGACCAATACACACACGGGCAGCCACACCCAACCAAGAGTTTGCAAAAACACTGTGCACCTTAGTTTTTCACAGACCAACACACGCACACACACACGTTCAGCTGTGGAAACAACTGTCCGTACTTGCTTTGGGAGAACTAGTAAGATCACTGTGGCAGAGCAGTGGCGGTGCCAAAAACGTAAAATCTCCTAATTAATCCGTCTGCTTGTTCAGTGAGCCAAGTGAGAAACAGCAGATGCATCAATCACAATTTGAGGGAAACCAAATTAACTCCATCAGCAAAAAAGTGAATGTCTTGCTTTAAACTTCAGAAGGACCAGCACAGCCGGAATGTGTTCACGGCCACCAACCGCGAGGTGCCTTTTTGTGTCTCCGGCCTCTGGCTGCCTGGCCATGTGACCCGTCCTGTCACCTGGCCCCTGCCCATCACACCACCCAAACTTCTTCCGGTCACGTCACCACACACCTTTGCTAACCACTGGATCCAGGAGGCGTTTTCACCAGGGGGCTGATTTCAAGTTGGATCTTCAGTCCTGATGACCAGAAGTGTCATCTTTCAATTTTCTGCAGCTTCAAGTTTTTACAGAACGAAGTGGGTGTAAATTCAAGAGAACAGGGAGCCTTCCAGGCTCCTCCTCAGATCCTGTACAGGGGCTTCATCTCCCACCCGCCTTTTGGATCTCGCAGTCCCCAAAGGCCTGCCTCCAGCACTCCCTCCTTGCGGCTCTCACCCACACCGTCTGCACTGGCCCGACGGGGACCAGCCTTCCTGTGTCCTGAGTCCCCGAACACCATCCTCTCTGCCCCTCTGGGTCCCCTCCCTCGAAATCAGAGGTTAGAAGTCCTCCAACAGAACTGAGAAGCAAGACAAGGCATCTTTAGTCTGGAACTGGTGATGGAGTCTGTTCATTCCTTTCCCCTAAAAGCCTCTGCCTGGTGGAAACACCCTGCTGTTTCTTGCCCATTCTATTCAGGGGTCACCCCCCAAGGGACCCAAACATGCCCTTCTTCCCCAGCCTCCACCTGATTTCACTGGAACCTTCAAAACAGTTTCCAGGCCCACGGAGACAGGCCTGGGACCCTTTGCTGCACTGTTTCCACCTGGACACGCCTCTCCTCCAGCAACAAAATATAAAGAAACTGTATGGGACCAAAACTGAGTGTGTGCATGCACAGTTAGGACAAATTCTGGACCCCAAAGATACAAAGGGACCAAAAAACCCCACTGCCACTTTTGAAGAACCAGGAACAAAAACAGGGTGCCTGAAGCAAAAGAAGAGTATTATGCATGTCCCCTGCACACACCACCATTTAAGGGGTTGGCAAACCACGTAAATCACCCCTCCAGCCTGACCCCTGGACATACCCCTACTCTCACCCCATGTAAGAAACAAGCTCACGCCAGCTCAGTGAGGGAGCAAGGGAACCTGTTGTTTGTCCCTCCCCCACCCCCCAGCTACAGAGGGGCCCCAGTAAAGCCTCCCCTGTATTTCCTGTCCGGCCTTTGATCAATTTCTGATTAAGGAGGCCAAGAACCCTGGTCGGTAACATCATGACAGCTTTTTGGTGCCATTGGGCTGGTAAGGAGAGAGGGACAAGTTCCAAGGCCCTGTGCTCAGGGGTCTCGGGGTGGGGGGAGGCCCAGTCCTCGCCGGCACCCACTGGGGAAGGGCGAGTGGGAGATGTCCCAGCTGCTGCCTGGGAATTAATGCAGAGCCAAGTCTTGCAATTGTTTGAAAAGCGGTCATGACAACTTGTCACTTAAAAAATGTAATAACCCCAACAACTAACAGTGTTAGTTACCAGCACCCGGAGGTGGATGGGGAACATTGGCAGTTTGTCTCTTCCCCAGTTCTGCGTCCGTGCAGGGCGCCAGACCCAAAGCAGCCAGGAGTCTGGGGCCAGAGAGGGGCCACAGCCGCACTGCCTCCAAGCACAAACTTGCCAAGCCTGAACTGTGACCAAAGACAGCTCACAGATCACAGAAGTCCTTATTGAACTTACAGGATTGTCAGCATTCACTTATCAGTAAGAAAGAGACATTTCCTTTGATGCCAATAATAAGGTGAGGGATGGGACTGTAAGTGGAGTAACAGTTGGCATGAATTCCTAACAAGGTAAAATTACTTGAAAAATCTAATGGCTTCCCAAAGTTTGCAAAAGTTCACAACTGTTTCATTTGGAAAAGCCTACTTTAATGTATAGCAAAACTTGGCATCATCAATGTATATTTTCACTGAGTAAATTTAAGGTTAATGCTATTTGTCTCATTGAAGAGTTTTCACATTTGAAACACAAGTCCATACCCTACTTTTAAAAGCAGAGTTCCATTTAGTTGTAAGGCACTTCTGCTTACAATGCCAAGGGCTCTGCACTCTGTCTTGGGGAGCATCCTGAGTCAGTGTTTATCTCGTCTTCTGATTGGCTGATGGAGAGCTTAAGAAAACAGCATGAAGACTTGTTTTCTAAGCACTCATGCCCAATGTCTGCTCTTGACCCCATGAGCAAGCACACCTGCACAGAAGTCTCAAAGGTAACCAGCCCACGAAGCCCCGCGTCCACAAAGAGGGTTCCCAAGGGTCAATGGTGGGCAATAAGCAGCAGGTGCTCAGAAACTTCTCGGAATGACACTCAGCAACAGAGAAGCGGGAGCAGCAGCCCAGGTGCATGCCATTGGCGGGGGTGGAGCTAGGCTACCCAGAACCTCAGGTGAGTTAGAAAAGCGACTAAAACATGGAGAATCACACCAAGACAAATAAACAGCCAAGACAAGTGACTACACGTATATATAAGAATATAAATGAAAGTATATAAATGAAATATATAGATATATTTCATTTCTTATACAAGAAATGAAAAGGTGCGTAGCCAGTCATGTTTTGTTTGGAGTCAATGGACTCAGAGTGAAAACCGAGGAGGCTGCCAATGAGCTCCTGTCTTCCAATCTTGGGAGAGACAAGACTTTCCAGAATCTGATAATTATTTTCCAGTTGTGTACCAGAAACCTAAAATGTGTTCCTTAATAAAGTGAAAAGCCTAAACCAGTTTTCCTTGTTCATTCAACACTTAAGGACCAGGACCCAGTTACACAGACCAGCATACTGCGGTTTGGTAAGTCTAGAATAAAGGTTGACCATCCGCAAGGACCACAGGTGATTCTGATGCTCACTGAGAGCCCGCAACCATGGGTTTCTCTTTAACTTAAATGCCTCTGGTTAAAGCTAACTATGTAAAAAAAAAAAAAAGATATCACTCTTTACCAAGTACAAATACAGCTTTACTGATGTGACTTCTTTTCCTGTCTTCTCCACTGTGGTCATTCCGTCCTCTCTGCACCGGCGGTTTGCAGGGCGCTCTGTCTCACCTAACCAGCAGGCCACAGGGTGGTTTGCTCTCCACGCTTTGCGGAGTCTACTCCCGAGTTTCAACCACCCGAAGACGCAACCGCACGGACACCAAAGCACGAAGCACCCAGAGGCTCCTGGAACCCACTGACACGAGGAACCAACGGCGTCAGGAGCTCTATCTTCTCCAAACAAGACGGACGTCACCAAGCAGGTGACACAGGGCCTCTGACCTCACTGTCCTCACAAGAAGACGCCCCTAAAAAACCCTAGACCTGGCGGGAAGGGGGTGAGGCTGAAGCTCTGTCCACACCACTGGCCTTAATTAGTAAGAGTAATGAAGTGCGGCCCCTGCCTCGGGGCCAGCACAGCACCACCCAGGAGGCCCCCTGAGCCTCCGACCGTCCCCAGGTGGACATCCAGCCCCCACCCCGGCACCATGGGCTGCTTCACAGGAACCCCTACTCCCGCTCCACCTCCTCAGGAGCAGGGGAATCTGAGGGCCTCGACGCCTTGTCGGCTGTGGTGGAGACGGAACGGGGGCTAACAACCAGCCTTGGCCAACTGAACTCCTACCTGCAGAGTGAGTCCAGGCAGCAGTCGCTCCCGGCGGCGAATCTCACCAGTGAAGCCGGCATAGAGCCGGATGCCAGCCCTGGAGTGCGCTTCCCGCCGCTCAGGCCAGAGCTCACTCAGAGCCCCGCCCATCAGAGAGGATGCCGGGAAGCCGGCGGACCCTCATTCACGCCCGCCCGCTGCTGAGAGGCTCCCCCGGCCCGCCTGCCCAGAGAGCGTGAAGAGAACGCAGGGAAGCTGGCAGAACCCGGCAACCCTGGAACCTAGTTGGGCAAGCCAAGCTCTGCTGAACACATCCAGTGGCCTTGTTCAGCCAGGGAACTTGCGACACTGGTGGGCTGAAGTCAAGAACGCAAGAGCCTTACCGTCTTGGAGCTAGTTCTCCCACTCTGCCTGGGCAGGGAAAGCAGTGTGTACCCCGCGCCCCCCACTGCTAAATACAAGCGCTCATTAACAGGAGCACATCCCGGATGTGGGCAGCCCATCCCAGAGCCATGCTTACAGTGGCACTCCGTGCACGGCCTGTGCTTCTCTGTCTTACCAGGGAGTTCAGTGCCGTCTGGCCTAATTAGGGGGCCTTTCAAACAACGGTGCCTGCCAGGGAGGGACGCTAACTCGGAGTTCTGCTTACTACTGTGTATAGAACCCAGTCTCAATAGCCAGATAAGCCTGACCAGAGGTCCTAGACAACAGCAAAGCCCATACTACAGCCTTGCTAGGGCAGGGAAACAAGCCAGAATTCCTATCCAAGACCTCTCAGCATCAACACCACCCCTGCCCTCCCACCTTTCAGGGTTCTGGGCAGGGGGGCCTTGCCCCAAAATAGACCCTAATATATCAGGCCCCACCTGCCCACAAGCATTACCAGCAGACACATCCAGAAACCTCAACAGAGCTGACTGGTGAAAAGCTGTCTCTCCCAAAACAAACCTGTAAAATCTGGAAGAGAAGCCCATTTACTCACAAAAATTCACATAAACATGACATCACCAAAGTAAACTAATAACTGACACTAAAGTAACGGAGATCTATGAACTGTCAAAGAATTCAGAATAATCCTCTTAAATGAGCTACAAGAACACAAAACTATAAACAAAATTAGGAAAACAATTTGTGAACAAAATGAGAAGTTCAACAAAGAAATAGAAACCATTAAAAACAAAAATCCTAGAGCTGAAAAATACGACTTAAGGATTCAACAGCTTTAAAAAGACGAAGATGCAGGAGAAAGAATCATCCTGACCTAGAAGACAGGACATTTGAAATTACCCAGTCAGAGGAACACAAGGGAAAAAGTCAAACACTGAAGAAAGCCTTATGGGACACAATCAAAGAACCCACATCTGCATTATGGAAATTTCAGAAGAAAGTGAAAGGGACAGGAAGCATATTCAAAGCAATAATGCTAAAACCTCCCAACCCTAGGAGAGGTATGCACAGATCCACGAGGTCCAAAAGACCCCAAACAGGTTGAACATAAACAGGGCTACACTGAGACACATTATAAATATCAAAAGTCAAAGACAAATACTTTTGGAAGAGAGAAGTTACATACAAGGGAAATCCCATTAAGACTATCAGCAGATTTCCCAAAAAGAAACTTCAGGCCAGGAAAGATAGGGGATACATTCCAAATACTGAAAGTAAAAAACTGTCAACCAAGAAGTCTGTATCAGGCCAAAGTGTCCTCCAGAAATGAAGGAAGGATTAAGATTTTCCTGAACAAGCATAAGTTGAGGGAGTCCATCACCAGGAGACATGCTTTACAAGAAAAGCTAAAGGGAGTTGAGTAGAAGTAAAAGGATGCTAACTAACATCATAAAAAAGGAAGGTAGCATGAAATTCACTGGTAATTGTAAACATATATTCAAAAGTAGATTCTGTAATACAGTATGGTGGCACATAATTCACTTACAACTCAAAAAACAAACAGTAAAAAGAACCATAACTACAAAAATCTGTTACTCGAAACACGATATGAAAAATATGTAAACTGTAACATCAGTAAAATGTGAAGGGAGGAGAAGTAAAACTGAAGCTTAGGACTTAAGCTGTGCTTAGTTATCAGCTTAAAATAGGGTGTGTTATAATTTTAAGGTATTTTATGTAAGACTCATGTAACCACATGAGAAAAATCCGTAGTAATTACACCAAAAAGAAAATGATGGAGAAGTCAAAGCATATTGATCCCCAAAGACCTTAAAACACAGAATAAGACAGCAGGAAAAAGAAAAAGGAACAAAGGGTCTACAAAACAGCCAGAAAACAATCAACAAAGTGGCCATAGTAAGTCCATATCTACCAATAACTACTGTAAACAAAAGCAGATTAAATTCCCCAATAAAAATTAAAGAACAGCTGAATGGATTTAAAAAAAAAAATGATACAACAATATGCTGCTGCCTACAAGAGACTTGCTTTAGTCTTTGAGACAATTAACTGAGAATGAAGGGATGGAAAAAGACATTTCAAGCAGAAGTAACCAAAAAGAAGCAGGGAGAGGTTGCTATACTTATATATTGGACAGAACAGATTTTAAACTAAAGAGAGACAAAGAAGGTCATTATATAATGAAAAAGGGGTCAATCCATCAAGAAGATATAACAACAAACTGAAAAGACAACCTACAGAATGGGAAAAAATATCTGTAAATCATGTATCTGATAAGGGATTAATATAGCCAAAGTATACAAAGAACTCATACAACTCCATAGAAAAAAAAAAAAAATCCAATTTTAAAATGGGCAAAGAACTGCAAGAGACATTTTTCCAAAGAAGACCTACAAATGGCCAACAGATATATATAAAAAGTCATTTGAAAAGTTCCTCAACATCACTAAATCATTAGGGATATGCAAATCAAAACCACAATGAGTTATCACCTCATGCCTGTTAGATGGCTATTATCAAAGTACCAGCTGATCCAGCAATCTCACTTCTGGGAACACATCCAAAGGAAACAAAAACACTTATGTTGAAGAGATATCTATACCCTTATATGTTCACAGCAGCATTATTCACATTAGCCAAGACATGGAAATAATCTAAATGGCCATTAAAGGATGGAGTTACTGTGTTATGTACATGTGCGTGATGGAGTATTTTTCAGCCATAAAAAAGGAAGTAAACCCTGCTATCATGAAAACATGGATGGACCTTGAAGACATTTTGCTAAGTGAATTTAGTCAAAGACAAAATACTGTACGATCTCATATGTGGAATCTTATTAAAAGAACACAATCTAACTCACAGAAAAGAGGTGGGGTGAGGGAGAGGGAATTGGACAAAAGTAGTCAAAAAGTTCAAATTTCCAGTTATAAGATAAATAAGTATTAGGGTTGTAATGTACAACATGGTAACTGTAGTTAACATGATATGTAGGGAAGCAGTTAAAGAGTAAATTCTAAGAGTTCTCATCACAAGGAAAAAACTTTTTGCTATTCTCTTTTTTTGATATCTGTATGAGATGGATGTTTAACTACACTTACTATGGTAATTATTTCACAATATATGTAAGTCAAATTTTTATGCTGTATATATTTAAACTTATACCATGCTGATGTCAATTATATCTTAATAAAACTCAGAAAAATGGAGGAGTTATAAACATTATTAAATTTTATTAACAAAAACTTTGTACATTTTCTTTAATACATGTGGAATTTTACATCTAAGTAAAATAACAACACATTCAAAATTTACCATTTGTACAAATTGTTACAGAATAACAACCAGTGGGTTAAATAAGTAAAATAAACCACACCGATTTTTTTGTAATTATCTACAAAAGATCTGACTTTCTTTAAAATTCCCCTGAACATATAAAAATAAATTAATTTTACTTTTCAATTAAATCTACCAATTAGAAATATTACAAATCAAAATATCAATGTTATCTTATGAATTTTTCACAATACAAAACAGATTCACAAAACCTTATTTACAGAAATGAGGTAAGAACTGTGCAATGTTTAACCAAGAGACATATTGCAGAATTAACATGTTCTTCCAGCTAAGTACACAGTGGAGGTCTAATTACATCTGGGTCTTTTTTCCACTAATAATTCACACATTCAAGAACAGTTCAATGATTACATCCCCAATTGTTTAATTTATACTCTGCTACACTGTCACCCCAGGAGTGGGGCTACCCAGCATGGAAGGGCTATAACACAGATTTCACCTGTTTCAAGAACTGCTGTGGTGGGTTTTTTTGTCTTGTTTTGTTTGTTTGAAATCATTGTTAACAACGAGAAGTTGTCTAACTAAAGAAAAAAAGAAAATTCTTACCAAACCCACACATTTTTCTTGTGACTCATTAGTGGATAAATACCCAGGTAATAGCTTCGCCTGAGCTATCTACAGTGGCATAGAAAGTTCTCAATAAAGGCAGAACCACGGGGAAGGCTGCTGTTGCTACTCAGCTGACCAGAGCCACTTCAGCACAAGGCAGGTACTAACAGGCACTTGATCCAGGCCAAACCCTACCAGCAGTTTCCAGAGTGGCCCCTCTTTCATTCTGAATTGAGCTGGTTCCCCCAGCAGCCTTAGAGCTCACTTAACTCAAGGTTTCTTCAAAATATGAGTAGGTCTTAACACTAAAGAAAAAGCATTTAGCAAAAGAAAATTACCTTTAGCAGAAGCAGACATTTACCATCCTAACTTGATTACCAAAATTGGCCAAATCCCATTAGAAAGGAAATTTTTATAACAAAGATTGCCAAGTCCCAGTGGATGACCTAGTTATTTGTAATATTTAACCAATAAAACTCTAGAAGAAGAAATTAAACAGTTCCTTGAAATTTGTTTTAAGGTTTGACTCACAGAGCAAATGTACTGTAACCCAAACAAAAGATCATATTTCATGTTCCAACTGGTACAATAAAATCAAATGGTTTATAAATGGAACAAGTCTTTAGTTTTGCTAGTCATCTCTGCAATTTATAATCAAAATTAGTTGTGTACCAACTATATTAAATTTCTCTTAGGTTGATAAACTCACTGCCATGTAAATTATTTCACTGACCAAAGTTAGCCATTAAATTTTCTTTCAAAGTTCAAAATAATCTGGGAGAGGGGTAGGGGATATGGGAATTTCATTTCAGTGCAACAAAGCAACATCAACCAAAGCCTTACAAGAATGCTCTCATGGCAATTAATCCTTTGTCGTGCAGCTGGTTTCTTGTTGCATTTCTTCATAGGTGTAGTAAAAGGACTGCAACAGCAGCCAGATGAAGTGCTAGGACAGCAGGATAGGCCATTTCTAGATGTTTTTTCCTCAAGTGTCAACTTTTCTCTTGAGCAACAGGCCCACTTTTATCACTAAGTCTCTGCAGTTAAAACAAAATCAAGTGCATTAGCTAAAGAAATTTTTGGCCCACACTTGAAACAATCTCTTAACAAATTATAACTGAGATAAAAGGTAGTATATACGGCTATTCCTTTTTTCTACAAGTCAGCATGGCTACTTTTCAGCATAATGTAAGGACATGAAAATACTGGTAAACATTCAGTTGCTTTATATTAAATTCAGCTGTACACAAAGACGTAAGAAATGAAAAGTAGAAATCATCCCTCCAAAACGGACTTTTCCACGGTAGTAGTAACACAGTCATGTGGAAAATGAACAAATAAGGAAATCATGGGTTCTGATCCCACATACGTGCTTATCTGTCCTTTGAACTTTACCCTCTTTGAATCTCCCTATTTTAAAAAACAGGTTTTTTAATAGTTTAAAGACTGGAACCATATATACTATTGTCTCTAGTAAAGATGCCCGCCACACAGCAGGATACTGATATTACTTCCCAGCCTTGCTTTTCTACATTAGATAATTAATAGTGACAGTGTTTACTATCATGATTTTCCATTAAAATACATTTCATATTGTATAACCTTTTTGTTTTTAACACAAGAAAAAACTTTACAGCAAAAAACAGTTAAAAAAGATCATCTAAATTAGTACAGAATCAATGAAATTTCCATGTCTGCAAAACTAGGTTTGTGATCATGATAATGACAGTATTCACAATCAGGAAGTCAGAGGAACAGTGGGGTAAACAAAAAGCATTGAAGAGGTAATGAAAACCAGTATACTTTATTTTGAACCAATTCTTGTTACTAAATACAAACTAAAGCTTCTGAAAACTAAAAGCACAGTAAAGAGCAAGGTTTCAAAGTAATGGGAAAGAGCAAACATTGTGACTTTGAACACCATTTTTGCCAAGTCTCCCACCTCATTCTTTCCCTTCTTCCTTTTCCTGGTGTCCAGTCTCCATTCTATATCCCAATATCCTTCCTCTAACAGGGTTCTGCCCTCAACTGGAATTTAGGGGAAACATTTATACTCCAGTAAAGTAGACCTGATTGAAGGGGAGAATTAATAGAAAGAAACAGCCTTAAAATGTGTGCTACTGTATGTATAAGTATACTGTTCCTGCACCCATTTTTTTTTGCTATCATTTACGTAAGATTAAGAATTTAAATTTCATTACAATTGTGACTATGATTTACTTTCTATCCAGTAGAATAACTAGATTTCCCTAAAGTTTATATATTAATTTTACCGTAAGTATAATTCAGTTTTAGCACATCTGAGCAAAACAATAAAAATAATCCTAAATTATCTAGACTATTTCTCTAGTTAAACAAATCACTTAAACAAAGATTCTCAAAATACCAACTACTTATCTTTTGATTGGACTGTCCCATATCACTTACTATACACCAAAACATTTTCATTTTGAAAAACTGCTGAATTATAAAACAGCCTTCCAAAAAATAAAAAAATAAAACAGCCTTCCAACCTTATGTGCAAATTCAAACTGATATACTTAGGGGATATAGAAATTGGCTTAGGTCCTTTGTGTTTACAACATCCAGCTGCTAAAACAACTGGTTTTAAGAAGAAGTTATCTGGGGGATAATATATTTTAAAAGAGAGAAAAGGAAAGAGGGAAGAAGGGAAGGGCCGGAGAGACAGTCATCTCTAATCACTAAAATTGGCTCTGTGATTTCACTAGCTGTAACAAAACACAGATACTTACAGTTACCTTCTGACTTGCATTATCACCGTGGATGGTGAGGAACGGGTTGGTGGTGGCTGAGTGGAGGGGAGGCGCCTGCGTGCCTGCGAGCAGGTTGTTGATGGGAATCTGAGTGGGTCCCGGGATCTGCAGCTGCTGGAGGTCGGGCTGGTGGTGCTGCTGCTGCTGCTGGTGGTGCTGCTGCACCAGCTGGTACAGAAGCGCCTGGTGCTGCTCCTTAACAAGAACACGCGGGAGGGGTGAGTTCCCAGCCCAGACAAGCCAGTGGGACAGCCTGCCTTGTCCCTTTTCTTCTTTACTCTGATACTAGGTATTGAAGTGATATCAAAGTCCTATTACTAAGAAAGACAACAAGAATCTCATCTGGAAAAACACACTGCATTAGACAATAACCATCTACTGTAAATGTCAATATCATCAGGGAATGGCTTTATTTTCAAAGTGGAACAAGCAAAAGTTAAAGAACCCCTATTCAAATGAGATTGTACATGAGAATCAAGGAAAATGGCAACTTAGAGAAGCCACGGTGATCTGTGTTTGGCTTTAGAAATCACTGCATGGTGAAATCCCTCCTGTAATTCTGGGAACTCGAAGAGTTATTTTATTATGCTCTTATTCTGAGAACTTTAAAAGTTATTTTAAGAGGTGGGTGCAATGTAATTGCGGTTTTAGATCATGTATTTTAAATAAATATAACTAGGCTCAAATACATCTTTATTAATCAAAATAGGAACCATTACAATTAACACATTTTTGTCAATGAAAAATAAATGTGCTTATTCCTGTAGCACAAAAATCCATGCTTTGGGATTCAATGAACTCTTGGAAGGCATTCTCTGCCTCCTGATGGTCGTGGAAGCATTTTCCTTGCAAGAAGTCATCGAGATGCTTAAAGAAGTGGTAGTTGGTTGGCAAGAGGTCAGGTGAATACGGTGGATGAGGCAAAACTTCGTAGCCCAATTTGTTCAACTTCTGAAGCACTGGTTGTGTGATGTGCAGTCGGGCACTGTTGTGAAGAACTGGGCCCATTCTGTTGACCACTGCCGGCTGCAGTGTCACAGTTACAGTTTTTGGTGCATCTCATCGATCTGCTGAGCATACTTCTCAGATGTAATGATTTCACCAGGACTCAGAAAGCTGGAGTGGATCAGACCAGCAGGAAACCACCAAACAGTGACCATGACCTTTTTTTTGGGTGCAAGTCTGGCTTTGGGAAGTGCTTTGGAGCTTCTTCTTGGTCCAGCCACTGAGCTGGTCATTGCCGATTGTCATATACAATCTACTTTTCATTGCACATCATAATCCAATCAAGAAATGGTTTGTGTTTTTGTTGCATAGAATAAGAGAAGATGACACCTCAAAACTATGATTTTTTAGATTTTCAGTCAGCTCATGAGGTACCCACTTATGGAGTTTTTTCACCCTTCCAATTTGCTTCAAATGCCGAACAACCATAGAATGGTTGACATTGAGTTCTTCAGCAACTTCTTGTTTAGTTTTAAGAGGATCAGCTTCAATGTGGGCTCTCAATTGATCACTGTCAACTTTCGATGGCTGACCGCTATGTTCCTCATTTTCAAGGCTCTCATCTCCTTTGAAAAACTTCTTGAACCACCACTGCACTGTATGTTTGTTAGCAGTTCCTGGGCCAAATGTGTTGTTGACATTGCAAGTTGTCTCCACTGCTTTACGACCCATTCTGAACTCGAATAAGAAAACTGCTTGAATTTGCTTTTTGTCTAACATCATTTCCATAGTCTAAAATAAATATAAAATAAACAGCAAGTAATAAGTCATTAGCCAAAAAAAAAAAACCATATAGTGAGAAATACTCATTAAAATGATGTATAACATAACCACATTTAAAAATGTATTCCAGTATCAAACAGTAAAGGTCAACAAAACCGCAATTACTGTTGCACCAAATTCTTAACTTTTAAAGTTCTCATTCATGTCAACAGAAAGAGTGCTCTCCTGATGTGGTTACCATGCCATGCCTTCCAGCATTCCTAAGTGCTTACTGTGATGTGCCAGGCACTGTTCTGGGGAGAAGAAATGTTAGGATGTGATTCCTGCCAAGGGTCAAGCCAAACAGTAGTGCGAGAGGGACTATTGGGTGGGGGGGCGGTTTCAGGGGGCCCTCACTTGGTTACAGATGCAAGGAGATGAGGGAATTCTCTATGTGGATTGGGTGGGGTGAGGAGGAGGGCAGATGGTTCTAGGCACAGAGAATGCTAGCCAGTGCTGAGGGGCCCTGTGGGTGTAGCCAGCATGACCCAGGACAAGCGAGGGGACCGGGGCTGGAGTGTAGTGAGCAAGACGGAGGCTGGAGAAGGACGAGGGCCTGCAGTGTGGCCGAGAACACTGGCTCTTCTGAGTACTGCAAGGCAGACGAAGCAGAGGAGTGACGTAACCTGACCTGACATTTCTTGATGGATTCAATGTGAGGTATCAGAAGAGAGGGTGAAGTAAACACTGCAGGGATTTCTGGCTGAAGCAGGTGGAAGGATGGAGGTGCATCAGCTGCAGTGGGGGCACCGTGTGACAGGTCAACAGTTCAGTGTGGACATGGTATGTCTGCACCATCTATTAAGAGAGCCAAGTGGCAGCACCAAGGAAGCAGTGGGTATGACAGCTGCAAATTTCAAAGAGAGGCCTGGTCTGGAGAAGTCGGAGTTGGCACAGTCTTTAAAGCCACTCGGTTGGAGGAGACCCTGAATTCAAGGACCCTCTGAAGTGAGAGGGACTGAGAAAAAGAGGAGCAACCCAGGAATGGAAGCTAAAAAGGAAGAACCAATTAGGTAGGAAGAAAACCAAGATCCTGGCAGCAAGGGGAAGAGAGAGTTTTCAGGGACAGAAGCCGTTACCAGAGGAGACGCCAGCTGGGAATGGACCGGGCTGAGCATGGGCAGTAGCTGGAGGCGGGTCCAGCAAGAGTTTGTCCTTAAAGTGGGAGAGAGGAGGTGCCGCACAGGACCACTCCTGCCTACGTGAAGTTCAATGCTTATCAATGAACAAACCTCATCCCACAGCCTTGGCTGGCAAAAGGATATCAAGTCTAATCCACTCAGCCTTCATGGACTCTGGGCAATGATTTGTGCTAAAAATTTCTTAATCAACCACATTCCAGAAACAAGACACCTACATGTGACTATTAAAGTCTTAATTAACAGGAAGAACCCCAAATAAATTGAAATTTCAGTACTTCATAATAAGATGTGGCAAGAGATAAGAAAACAAGACCCCATTTTAGTGAGTGTTTAAGAATTTATATGTAGTCTACCCTCACATCACTTTAACAATGGCAATGATCCAGAATTGTAAAATAGACAGTTTCAATGTATTTTTGACTAAAGCAAGAAAGTCGGTGGGTGATTTTAGAAAGAAATTACAAAGGCTGAAACCTTGAGTTAATTAAAGGAGTGTCCTCCTAGTCTAACTCAGTGAGGTGTTCAAGACACAGCATAAGGTGCCGCAGTTTTCTCACCCCTCCTCCAAGATAACTGCTCCACACCTTTCCTCTCCTCTAACCACAATTTCCCTATCTCTGTCAGCTGATGACTTTACTTATAATTCCCATTTAAAAACTAAAAACATCGGAAGTGGGCTTCTTCAACTTCCTGTCATGAAACCCACTTACAGCTTCTGCACCTCCCTCTTACCAGGTAAAGCTGCTCCCTCCTGAAGCACTCTGCTCCCTGGCCTTACCCCTTCTCTCTCTGCACCAGAAAATTACCCACCAACATACACAGAGGGCTTCACTGGCAGTCTAGTGATAAGAAACAGCCTGCCAATGTAGGAGACATGAGTTCCAGCTCTGGTCCAGGAAGATATCATCACATGCCACGGGGCAACTAAGCCCATGCGCCACAAGTACTGAAGCCTCTGCACCTAGAGCCTGTGCTCTACAATGAGAGGCCACAGCACTGAGAAGCTGGTGCACCGCAACTAGAGGATCCTGTGTTCGACGCAACTAGGAAAAGTCCACACGTGCCAACGAAGACCCAGTGCTGCCAAAGATAACTGAATTTTAAAAAACATACATACATGCTGTCATTTTCAAAATGAATAGAAAGACGCCCTTCGACACCTTCCTAATGCTAACTGCTCTTTGACTTCTCTGCTCTTCACAGTAAAATATCTCGAGTGGCCTGTATCCCATTTGTGTTTCCTGCTTTCTTTTGAACCGCTCAATGAAGCTTTTCACTTCTCACCAAAATCACATTCTCAAAGAGTTCTAGACACCTATTTCCAATGGGCAGTTCTCACTTGTCTCACCAGAGTAGTTTACTCAGCTGAGTCCTCCCTGTCTTGAGAAGTTTCTTTTCATGGACTCTAGGTCTTCACTCTGTTCTAACTCTCCCCTCATTCTCTCCTCAAGACCCTTGACTGGATTACTGTCCTCTTTCAGGATGCCCAGAGCCCAGTCCTCAGAGGCCAGTCTTCATTCCCTACTGCCCTCATCAAGTCGTGTGAATCTAAACACCACATATGCAGCAATGACTCCAAGGTCCTATTTCCAACCTCATCCTTTCCTTGGACTCCAGACTCATCTAACTGCTTAATCTGTGTCACCTGAACATCTAAACAGACATCTCAAATCAGCATGTCCATAACAGAACTCCTGTTCTCTTGCCAAAACACGGTGTTCCTCCTAATCTTCCAAATCTCAGTACGAGATTTGGAAGTACATCATCCAAGTACATCAGTACATCATTCAAGTAAATGTCCAACAAACCAGTTTTATTGACTGTATCTTCAAAATACACATTCTAGACAGTTTCACCATGTTTATCTTGCTCTCATAAATCAGCAGCACCTAGACCAGAGTCCTCCTCCCCTCAACACACACACACTATTCTCCATTCAGCAGCTAAACTAATGTTTTAAAATGTAAATTATTGTCATGTCACTACTGTGTTCAAAACCCTACACTTAATTCTTTAAAATCCTGATAGAAAAAATAAAGATATATGAAAAAAGACTTTTAAACGGGGATAATTATAAAAGCTAGGCAATTGGTATACCATACTCTCTACTGCTGGTACACTTGAATGCTTATTTCCACAAAGAAAGGTGTTTTTAAAAAAAGAAAAAATCACCAATGGCTTTCCATCACACTTAGGATAAATCTAAACCCCATACCATGGACAGCCAAACAAGGCAGCCCACGACCCTGTGCCCACACCTGCCTGCTCTCCTCCACGCCAGCCCAGTCCTGCAGCACAGGTGCCCTAGTCCCTCGACCCTGAGTGTCAGAACGGCATGCTCCTTCACCTTTCATTCAGATCTGTGCTCAAAAGTCATCTGCTCAGTGGCTGGACCATCCTATCTACCATGGCTCTCCCCCCACTGTCCTCTATTCCCTTATCCTGCTTCATTTTTTTCCCCATTACTCATCACTACCAAAAAATATGTATCTAATGTCCATCTCCCCTATCAGAATGAAGCTACATGAAAAGACAAGTCTTGTTCACCAGAGTCTACCAGAGCAGCACAATAATGTTCTAATACCTGTTGATGAATCCACATAATTAATATCACTACAGGTATCATAGACTATACCATGTCACTTCACAAAGTAGGTAATCTATACCTACACACTGAATACTTATTATAACTTTGATCACTTGCTCCTAATAAAGATCAAATATTATCAAAAGGAAGAACTTACTGGTGTGAGCTGTTGCGAATTTAACAACTGCTGGAATTGCTGTTGATGAAGAAATATTTGTCTTTGCTGGTCAGAAAGTAATCCTAGTCCTGAGGCACTGAAAAATGATGAAAATTCTTACTTTCTACTATAAACCTTTTTTTTTAATGTAAAATGAAAGAACTTCTCAATTTGATGTTTAATAAGTTAACAAGTCAAGTTTTTAACCATAATACTTTTTTTTTTAAATGATGTAAAAATTTCTTCTCTCTCTCTGCATATATACAGGTAAACAACAATTCACATTGTCAATAAATGTTTTGGTTCCCTTTTAATTGTAAACCAAGCAGGCACTAAGTTGTTTAATGGAATAAAAATTTATATGCACATGTAATACTTTATTTTCATCATTCAAGGATAATTTAACCCACACTAAGAAACACATATTAAAAGAAAGAAAGAATCCAAACATACTACTAACTGATTTTACTTAAACTTTTTTTATGGTCCCAACTGTCAGTAAAATTAAGCACCAACGAAAAGAGAGCCAGAAGAAACAGTTTACTACTATCCACTACAAATCCATTTAAAATGATTTATTCCTCAAAAGTATGTGCAGTAACAACATAGCTTTTCCATTCAGATGAAATTCCAGCACAATGAAACAGCAAGTCTCACTCCCTGGAAATTCAAGATAAATATTTGACCTTCATCTTATATCAAAATCTTTGATTACAAAGCTAACAAAATTACATAGCTGAATTTTAAGAAACCAACATTCATATGTGATCTTCATTACAATATTACTTTGCTCCAGAAGTTTTGATACACGAGGTTAAGAAAAATAGCATTTAAAACAGACATTACAGATCAAGACTGAAATTTTCAGTACAGAATATATTTAATGCTTATGCTTTGTTACTAAAAGTGATTTAACTTTGTATTTAATCTGAATTACTAAAGTGTCAAAAATAAATGGCTCCTGATATAATATTTTTAGTTTGTGGATTTTACTTTCTTAGAGCACATCTACCAGGGACACATTAAAAAATCCCTAACTAAAGCTTGGATAGCATTGGTACCATGTTGCTCTAAAAACCGCAAAAGATACTTAAGTTTCTTACCTGTTAGTCAGTGTAGCTGGCATTGGATGTGTTGCATTAGGTGGTACAGTTGTGTGGGTGAGGGGGGTAGGGTTCTGGGACATCGTGACAGGGGTCTGAATAACCCCATTTAAAGCTCCTACAATGCCATTAATTGCCAGTTGGTTACCTGGCAAAGCTCCAATTATTCCACCCACTCCAGGCACGGCAGGAATGGTGGATGTTACAGTCGGCATTCCACTAGCCAATGCCCCCACTGTCACACCATTGACCTGCTGAACCCCACTAACGCCTGAGCCCTGCTGAGCTGGACTCTGCCCGGCAGGAGGTGGAGTAGAAAGAGCCGATGAGCTGCTGGTGCTTTGTCCGCTGGAGGTTAAGTCCTAACATAAGAAAGAATAGGAACCAAGTTGTAAACAACACAGCAAAACTGTTTAAAATTATTTTAAACCATTTAATGTGATATACTGTTGTTTGTAAGTAAAACACACAAATGAAATTAACCACACCAAAATTACCTGATTTAATACAGGAAGAGAATTATCAGGCAAAAAGCTGTTTCCTAGATGAGGGCTCTTACTGCTGTTCAAGGAATCAGTAGCAGGAGCTAGAAAGAAAAAAGAAACCTATTTACCTGTTGAATTACATTACATGTAAGATTGAAGACTTGTCTAAAAGCTTAGTCTGAAGCACACATTAAAAACACTTAAATATTAAGCCTTGCTAATCTTAAGACCAATTTGAATGAAAAAATCTATATATCTATTGAATATCCTGGCTTTAAATCAATAGATATCATCATACACTTAAATTTTATCATTAAATTCTGTACTAAAGATGTTAGAGCAAACTCAAATTGAACACTGAACAGGATTCTTTATGCTCCTCTAAAATAACCTATTATTCCTTTTCTACATCTTCATATAACTGATGACCACTTACTATGAAACAGACAATGAGAAGTCCACCCTACTTTCCGCAGACCCGCAATAATCCACACTTACCACTCTGTGCTGGAAACGCGTGCATCTGGTGAGAGGGGCTGGGGTTTGCTGCGATCGTTGGGAAAGGCACTGAGAGCTGCGCATTCAGTAACTGAAGGCGCTCCTTTTTGGCGGTCAAGTTTTTAATCTGTTCCTCTAATCTTCGATTTTCTACTTGAAGTTGATGTAATGACTTCAGCATCCCTAAAACTAGCAGACGTTTGAATAAAGACAATTTTACACACAAGACTAGGTATTTTATGGACTTCTGTCAATAACTAGAAATAAAACAGAAAAGCAGAAATTCTGTAAAGTATTTCTAAGTGACTAGGTTCTATTTCTAAATTTATATGCAGATATAAATATATAATAATATATTTCTACCTATATAAGCATGAAGGGATATTGTTCCAAGATGTACTGTGTAGAAACTTTGTTGCCACTAACAAAACACCCAAACCTAGTTCAGGTAATTTCCATTCTCAAATAAAAATCACAAGAACATTTCGTCAAAATAAAAATCTAATTAAAAATTCAAAGTGCTCGCCATGATTTTTCATTGAAATCATTTTTTAAAGGGCAAAGAAACACACACACCAATATCCTTCGACACAGACAAAGAGCATGAACATTTATTTGTTGTTTGGTTAAACTAGGCAAGCCACCCGACGACACTGGACGAGGAAGCTCAGCCGCTCAGCCTGCGGATCCACACACGCCCAGCAGGGAGCAGTGTGCGCGCACCAAAGCCCTACTCCCGGCTCCCAGCAAAGGCGCGCCCTCTGCACACAGGCTGTCCTGTTTGACCACCTCAAACACTTTCTCCATTCCTGCCACAGCTCGGACCTCTCAACGGACAGCAGAGACGCCATGGTGATGGACACTTTAAAGTTCTACGTATTAAAAAGTTGTATTTGTTTAACATGCCCTCAGGGCCTTCGAAAGACAATTCTACTGGTAGACACATACGGTCATTTCCCAAGGATTTAACTTTTATCCCTCCTCTTCAAGATCCCACACAGATCCCTTAGTGTACCCAAATGAGATGCAGTAAGACTAAGCTAAACCTGTCCTCCAGCTATCATGTTTAAAGGATTATCCCGGCATGAATTTCCTCACAATTAGCATTTTTTGTCAAGAGCACCATTCATAAAAATACCAAATTTACAGTACCCGTCTAATAATAAGCAAAATATTGTTTTGTTTTAAAAAATAAAGAGGCAAAAGCTTATACCCCCTCAAATTATTAGAAAAAAATAAAAATTAAACACCTATTATTTCCACCAGATATACTTAAAATTGTAAAGATACTAAATATGTATATATAACATACACTACATAATTTAGCAAGTAAATGATATAAATAACATATATTATATGTATAATGTATATATAACTTAGTACTTATTCTTTCTCATCCAAATTATAAAATCAAGAAAGTTGGCCTTACTTGACTATACACATTTTAAAAAATAAATTCTACAGTGGTGAGCAAGTTTTATTCAAACAAGCTAAAAGAAGCTACAGCTCATATTTTTAGTAAAACTTAACTAATTAGAACAAAGTAGAATGTAGAAACAAAGTACTAATATTTTAATATTAATAATTATAAAAATAATAAGAACCAGTGAATACTACAAGCCAGCAATGTTCATTATATCTTTTATGTCATCTAACCCTCAAAACAATTCTGTGATATAGGTACATTATTATTCTCATCCTATAAATGGAAAACTAGAGCATACTGACATTAACACACTTGCCCAAGATCACACTTCATAACAGGTAAAAACAGAGTTCCAGTCCAAGGGGTAAAACTGTAGCCTCTGTTCTATTAAGCCACTACATTACACTTTCTCACCATATTATATAAGACATACATCATAATTTCAATGCTATTCTTGACAAAGCGTGACTTCTACATCTGTCCACCTGAATGTCTGTTCATCCATCCATCCATCCATCTACTGCTTTTCCTTTAAAGATAAGAAGAGGATACTTACTGTCACTAGGAGTGCCCTGTTCTAATAAAAACTGCTGTCCTTCACTCCACTGCCTCTCCAGAAGCTGCTCTATGCTGGCTGCTACTGGGGGCAGGTTTTCCAAACTGCTGTTGCCTGGCTGGTCATAGCGGATCTGTAAGTTGCTTACAGGGGACCTGTTGGAAACATTAATCCTCAGGTTAAACAGGAGGAAGACCCTCTAAGGGAAGTATATTCACATTTCTCACCTTATGCTGACTCTTCTCCTGTACAAGGTTTCTAACACCAAGTTATCTAGGCTAAAACGATAAAACCACAATCTACCCTAAAATTAGCAATTACCACCCTTCCTCCCCAAGTGGTAAAAACCAAGGGAATAGCTGGCATACAGAATAAGTAAAAAACTTTAGAAAATATAAATACACTACTAATAATCTCTGAAATTGGCAGTAAAAGAATTTGATGCAACTTTATAAGACAAAAGGGAGAAAGACGGGATTAGAAAGATTCACACTGTACAGTTAAATGAATTTTTCCTAACATCTCTTAGATCTGTACTTCAAATGATAAGAACTTAAATATTACAAAACAAAAATCACTTATATTAACATGAACATGTAATGATCTCTCATTCAGTTTTTGTTTTAAATACATAAATGTGCCCATTTCTGGTCTCCGGCCTCCATAATTACATAATGAATTAGGGCTGTGGAGTTTCCAAAGTATTTCCATATAATTAGCGTCACACCAACCTAGTGGGAAGTCAAAACCCACCTTACTGGCTCAATTCCTATTTGAGGAAACAAGATGGGGCTTTAGTGACTTGTCCAAAGACACTGCTAGTGAGTGACAGAACTGGGCAACGCTCAGGGCCTCTCACAGCCTGCTAGTATTCTGCTGCAGCCCTAACACGCGTCTCCACAAACATCCCTTCAAATAAGAAGTTAAACAAATGAGTCTTTTTATTCCTTCCACATGTAAACATTGAGTGCTATACATACAGCTGCCTGTCCCTTCCCAAATAGTACATTATTGCCAGGATAATTTAGGCTATTTTATTCCAAGTTGATTTTTAAAGAATAATATACACTCAGAAATATGTGCTAAAAGTAATTTAGTGCCATGTTTTGGTGTTAAATCCTATTTAGCTAACGAAACACAAAGAACTACACAATGCAAGATAGCACTAAGCAATCTTACCTAATTTCTAGGGTTGCCTGTATGATATTTTAAATTTAAAAGGAGCACACAGAGATGCTTCTTCCACTAAATATATGAGCAAAAAAATCCATTAACTTTCTCCTTTGGGGAAAAAAAGAATAAAACAGTACAGAAGTAGCACAGCATAAATTACAGACTGATCTGATGATGTTTTTATTCTGTACTTCAGAGTCCTAGCTTCAAAAGAATAATATTTAATTTTCTGAAGAGTTCAACTGGGGAAAACAATACAACCTTTATTTCAACCAAGGATCAAACAGGAAAAAAGGAACTACTGATGCGCCACTAGAAAATACCTAAAATAGAGGTTGTTGGACGAATCTCTCTAACGTTAAAAATGCTCCTTAACAGACATTCCCAAATAAGTAATAAATATATAAGCAACACTGCTTATATATATTCATGATAGTCACTACACAAAAATTTTAAATAGAATTTCTAAACTTCCATAGTTGAAAAGATATTCTAAGTGGGTTTCTTCTTCCACCTGCTCCATTTTCACCCAATCTAATACCAGGCTTGAGGTGAAGTTTACAAAATTCGAGAACAGAAAGAACACAACTAGAAAACGGTATGGAAGTTGAGAGTGGAATAAAATTAATAAAAATACAGCCTATTAAATAATAAAAACGTGTCTTGTTAGCAAGAATAATCTGACATATATATTAATATTATAAATGATATCTGAACTCTCTTATATAATATCCAAGAATTTCACAGAACAAGTATAATATATTTGCTATACTTTGTTTCAAACAATTTTAGAGGGATTTTAGAGACAAGTCATAAGAACTTCATTTACTGAATTAGGAACTGGAGACTAAAGGGTTAAGTACATAGCCCACAACAGCGCTAAAGCTGGAACCCAAAGTTGAAAGCCTGAAGTCTGCAGCGTTAAGAGATCTTAAGACTATTTTATAACCCAAAAAGAATTACCCAAATTAACACATTAATAGTACCTGCAGCTAAATATACTAGAGCTCAAACTGATTAGAGATCCAAGAAAAGGGCATGTCTTTTATAAAGCTTAGAAATCTAACCACATGTTTAATATTCAAATTAATTTAGAATCACTTTTCTTGACTGTCCAGACATGCCTCTTATCTACAGAATGCTTTTATAGCCTCACAAATGTAAGCTCTGCTGATATGAGATAAAGAAGTTTCCAAATCTCAAAATGTTTCCTTTGCTGATACTTTGCAGTGCAAATAATGCTTACCTTGGTGAGAGACTTCCTCTGGGTGAGCTTCCTCTGCCAGCAAGGCTACGGCTATTGTCTCCAAGATCTTGATCTGCAGTGTAAATATTTCACAGCTGATAAAGTGACTCTCACTAGATGAGAGGTTTTAAGCCCTGGCCCTGATTTTTCCTAAAACATACATAAAACCTTTACCACTATCTTTGCAGTCACTACAAAAGTAGAAAATCTAGTATGCTGCTAGTTTAGAATTGCTGAGCTGTGGCATGTAAGGCGTTGTCCCTACACGTTTTTTTTGGTGGGTGGAGAAGGCCATGGATTATGTTCATTCTTTCATTCCTTTCAATTTTACAGCACAGAAGCGTGGTTTCCATTTGCAGTACCCTCCCCTCAGCCACTTTTAATTTCTACCGTTAAAGTAATGAATCACAGCTGTGGACAGCTAATCTGTATGCTTATCACAGCAAATCCTTATGCGTTGTATATTTTAACACTTCACATTCCAACACAAGTCATAAAATACATATGTATTACATAGAGCCACACACCAAAACTAAAATTATATATATGTTATGTGGATGATTACACGTAACACTAAATAACCAAATGGACAAAGACAAGTAGGAATACAGAATTCTATATGCAAAAAGAAATTAATTTTTTAAAGATATTCCTGAGGTGATATCCAGTATCTCGGCTTGAAAAATAATTTGTATTTCCCCTACAGTGAGTTCCTTATAAAATCACCCTATCTGGCCTCTTTCAAGGTCGTCCTCCCCTTATTCTGAGTCAGGTGACCTCTGACCCTTGAAGGGTAAAGACATGACTGATCCATTCTTGGTGAACTGCTAAACCCATTCCCTTCCCCCAAACAGGCATGACTACTTGGACATGTCAACAAATCCTTAAGGGTGGAAAGAAACAAAGCAAATCCAGTGGCTCATTAAAACAGTACAAGAGGCAAATGCTACAAGATGTCAACTGGTAAAAATTCACAGGATTACTAAACACTGTAGAAATTCTCTAACAGGATTTTTTTAACCAAGTTTGTGTAATGCAATTTCATGAATTATGCAAATAAAGACTGAGGCTATTCACAGAAAGCCCAGTGTTATGCTACTTCCATTGCACAGAACTGAGCACTGAACACATCAATCACAAAAGTCACAGGAGACACGAGCATTCCTGCCTGCTGATGGCTCTGCTTAAACATTTACATTTCAGACAGTAAAAAAAGGCGCAGATTTTGCAGCACAGCATACTATTTACTTCCAACTGTAATTCTTTTCATTTAAAAGGGGAGGAGGGGACACACACACACAATCCTCCCCTTTAGATTTTATTTATTAACCACATCTTTAGATTTTTCAAATGAAATTAGCCTGATGGGGGGTAAAAATCACATTGATGGAGGGGAACAGAATTTTAGAGTTTAAAAATTCTTGAAACCTTACCTGTTTGACTGTTTTCAGACTGAGCTATAAGAGCTGCCATTGATGAAGTTGAATTTAATCTATTGCCATACATATGAGATGATGCCTGACTAAGAGACGATCCAGATAGGGTATTTGCCTAAATGAAAAGAATTACAAAGAAAAATTAATTATTATATAAAATATCTTAATTCTTTTCTTAATAGACCTAGCAACAACTATTTTCTCCAACATAAGAATGTAAGTAGAACTTCCTGACTTTCTAAAGTGCAAATTTCATTCTTGTTTTACCATTTCAACATTCCAGTCTCTGAAAAGTTACATAACTCAAAAGAGAGAGGGAGCACTGAGACTGGCACAAAGTTAACTATTTGTGATTTAATTTCAAAGTATCTATTTGATACCAAAACCAGTGGCCTGGTAACCACGTGAACATATGACTAGTTATTTAATCTTATTAAACCGTTTAGAAAATAAGGGCAGGGAGACAACAGATGTCTAACAAATGCTTCAGTCTCTTACCTCACAGGCTGCCTGAGGTCAAAAGGTTCAGCTTCTACCTTTAGTATTTTAACTACACAGAGTCATATCTCCATTGCTTAACTCTGTCATTAGTAAAACCTGCACACTATTTTGTTACTTCCTATTTTGATAGACTTGGAAGCCTGCTGCTTTTTCTGTTTTGTTTTGTTTTTATTTTAAAAGAAAGCAAACAGGCATCACAAGTATGTTTTCTATACAATGCAGGGCTCAACGAATCACAGCTTTGCCCTGACCCCATATAAGGCACTGTCTTTTTGGCAGAAAGCCAGCTCTGCAAACTGAAGAGCTGGTCCACAGTTTGTAATTCATTCATGTTGCTAACCACAATTCTGAAGGCCTCCACTGGGACTTGTGCCAAACAAGCGAAAATGAACCCTTAAACAGATGAAGCTAAGGAGGCTGGCCAAAGTCTTGCGTAATCCAATGTAATAAAAATGCCTTCTTTGATGTGAATACTTTCTCCCACTTTCCAAGAATATTATAACCTTAAAAATGTGGCATTTTGGAGGCAAATCTCTTGTATACAAAACATTGTTAACTCGCAGAAAGCTATCACTAGTCTGAAATACTTTCAGATTTAACAGAACCACACATTTCAAAGTAGATTTTTCTTTTTCATCAAGTGAAATAAAAACTTAAGCTTGGAAAATGAAATAATTGTGTAGTTATTGCAGAACAAAATTCTGGAAAATAATTTCAAAGAACTGAGGTGTTTTAATATAAATAACTTGAATAACAGCAGAACAAAAGATGCAGAACATTTTGACGGATTTAACTGCACAAAAGAGACCAAGGCGACAAAACAGTGACAACAAGCGAAATATCAGAGAATAAACTGTGCTTCTGGGAAGACTCAGACCCTGACATCAGTATCTGGCCTCTAGCCAACTTACTAAACATAAAAACTGGACTTTACAAGTCACAGAAATAGTCCCCGTGACCTAGAGTCCTGTCCTTGCTTTCCATTGTCTCAAAGGGTATATTTCATAGTTCATATATAAAGGTCAACTGGTCAATTTCTGGGATTCATTTTTCTTCTCATTAAAGCTATGTATACAAAGTCAGTAGTTTGGATTATACAGTCCTGTTTCACAATCAATTAGCCCTTAGCAAAAGCTAAGTCATCTGAAGATCACACTAGACACTTACCATGCATAGAATATATAAAATGTGTCAAAAATAGAAAGATGGGAAGACTTTTTTTTAAACCTCTTCAGAAGTTAACTGCTTGGGAATCAGCTACTCATAAAATAACTTAGAACAAGAAAAATCCAGAGACAAACAGAAGGACCAGATGTTACTAAAAACCCAGTTTAAAATCTTGGGCACCTCACACTTTAAAAATACCCTTTGCAGAGCCAATTTACTCTTACTCTAGACATAATTCTAAAAAGATCAACTAAGCATATAACAGATTAGAAGTGGAAAATTAATTAGAAAGAGGAAGAAAAAGTAATATTTTGAGACATTTTGTTGGCAGCGAGAAGTAACAGCTGACAGTGAGAGAGAGAAAAACATGAGCAAGAAAGCGCGCGCTCCCGAGTGCTGGCCGGGCCTGGCTCCGAGAGCATGGGCAGGAAGGGTCGCCCCACCCACACCCCGCCTTCTGACTCTCTGCTAGCGCACTCATCCACTGGCTGAATCAAAACTGTTATCACACCAGCTGAACTGCTTTCAAAGTTCCAATTATCAGTTTTATGAGTTTCCTTAGTCTCTTGATAAGAATCAAAGATCCTATTCTCTTTCAGGAAGGGTTCCTTCTGGCAAGGGCTTTATATTTATCCTTGTTAGCTTCAAATTTCTTGATGTAGTCTCCAAATCATCATACTTTCTCAATCACACACTCCACCCACTACACTAACAGCTCAAAATGCAAAGCAGCACAGTATAACTCATTTCCATAATGACTACCATCAGGAAGAGGATAAATCATCGTTAGCACAATTTCAAAGCAAGAAAGTATGGATTTTATAAAGATGGTAGGCAAAGGTAAAATTAATAATAAAAAAAATTAGAAATACATTCATTATCCCGAATGACAAATTTCCCTCAATTTTCTGAATGTTTAAAAATTACCAGGTAGTTTTTTAAATTATTGTATTTATCTAAATAAGGAATTTCCAAGAAAGATTGAAAATTACTAATTTTTACCATCTAGGGTTTTGTGGTATATGAGAGCACCTAAACCACTCTACATTAAAATTCAAGTCATTACTGCCATTTTTAGCAGGTAACATGAGCTAGCAAAGACTCTACAAATGTCTGACACTGGCCAACATTTCTGAAATGATATTTACAAAGGTTACTGCTGGAAACTCTTGATAACTCTGCAGGAAATTTAGAGCAAAGAAACTCCCAACATTTCAGCTAAAAGATTCTACAACTTTTAGAAGCAATAAGGAAGGAAGAGCGAGAGAGACAACCTACACTGATGGGGGAATATAAATTGGTACAGCCACTGTGGAGAAAAGTACAGATCTTTAAAAACCAAAAAGAGAGCTGTCATATGATTCAGCAATCCCACTCTTGGGCATATATCTTGAGAAAACCCTAATTTGAAAAGATACATGCACCCCAATGTTCATAGCAGCACTATTTACAACAGCCAGGACATGGAAGCAATGTAAATGTCCATCAACAGATGAATGGACTACTACTCAGTCATAAAAAAGAATTAAATAATGCCATTTGCAGAAACATGGATACATCTTGAGATTACCATACTAGATGAAATAAAGCTAGACAGAGAAAGACAAATGTCCTATGATATTGCTTATGTGTTAGTCTGCTCAGTCATGTTCAACTCTGTGGGACCCCACGGACTATAGCCCACCAGGCTCCTCTGTCCACAGAATTCTCCAGGCAAGAATACTGGAGTGGATACCACTGCCTTCTCCAGGGAATCCTTCTGACCCAGGGATCAAACCTGGCTCTCCTGCATTAGACACAGATTCTTTACTGTCTGAGCCACAAGGGAATTGATATCACTTATATGTGGAATCAAAAAAAAAAAAAAGATACAAATGAACTTATATACAAAACAGAGATATACCCACAGACATAGAAATAAATTTATGGTTACCAGAGGAGAAAGGGGGAGGGGAGGGGGATAAACTAGGGTTAACATATACATATTACTATATATAAAATAGATTACCAACAAGGACACACTGTGTGGCCCAGGGAGCTTCACTCAGTATTTTGAGATAACCTGTAAGAGGAAAGAATCTGAAAAAGATTATATATACACACACCACAATTGAATCATTCCGCTGTATACCTAAAATTAACTCAACACTGTAAATCAACTATACTTCAATTACAAAAAAAAAAAGTGCTACTTGTTTTTGGAAGGAAGTACACACCTTATTTCAATTCTATCCTGCCCTGGAAAGGAGAATGTCTACTGTGGGCAAATATGTTCTTGAGCCTGTTGGCACTATAAAGTATGTAAGCTGTTAAACACTGGGGAGGCTGAGTGAAAGTATCCATAATACACAAGAACTCTGCACTGTTCCTGCAACTTTTCCATACACCTAAAATTATTTCAAAATAAAAAGCTAAAACAAAAAAAGAATATGATTGCAAAAAACTGGTTACTTGGCTTTATAGTATTTTGATGAAGTAATCTATTCAAAATGTAAAAAGAGATGTTAGTCAAGATTCACTTCCAAATATATGATCTTGGGTTTTTTCCCTCCCCAAGATTAATAACTGAAGGAACCACTTACACACAAGATGTTATACTATACCTATTCCAAGATCCCAGTAACAGTCTTAGTAAGTGTAATAATTATTTTACAAGATGGACCCAAGGTAAAGTAAAGTAAAAGTAAACTTAATAATTACTGAGGTAAATCTAAGTCACACTGAAGCAAAATATGCTTAGGTATCCAAGAAGACCTGGGTTCAACCCTTGGGTCGTGAAGACCCCCTGGAGAAGGGAATGGTTGCAAAAGGGCAGACATGACTAAGTGACTTTCACTTTTTCACCCAACAAAGAGAATACACTTAGCAAATTTAGACTACTGTGCTAAGCATCTAGAAAGACATGCAAGCCACTACCAAAGTAGTCTTTAAACTCTAAATCAAAGAAATTTAGTGTTTCCTAAGTAGACTAACATACCCTATTAAAATATTGACAAGGTTAAAATTACATTTCAGCTTGAAATTTCCTATTAATAGTTCACCTTTTATATTTCAAATGTCTGCTTATGACCACAGAGAAGTCTTTAAAAGAGTTGTAGAGTGAAGTGAATCTATCAAATTCCTAGGCACCTGGCTCATTCTAAAGGAGTTAGTTGTGGAGGGGGAAAATATCAGGCTAAATCTATTCAATTATCTGAATGTCAGACTTAAAAGTGGTTATTGATAGTTTTTTTTCCCCTCCCCAGTGTTGCTAATGGCAGAATGATAAAGTATTAAGTAAAATTAAGTTTGAAAGAGTAGTACCTATCAAAATTTCACCTTTGAAAAGTATCATAGCAATACATCATCTAGAGGTGAATATGAAACTTCATGCTTCAATCATATAGGAAGAGGTCACAGCAAGCATTTTTTAAATGCACAATTAACCTGTCAATAAACATTAAAGTC